CATGTCTGTAATGAATTGCCAGCAGAACAAAGCTGGTGGGAGCACAGAACATTTAAACATTGTGAAACATACCACAAATTACCTTCTAAAGGGTTGCAGTGGTCACTGTTAGTCCCCAGAAGGCAGTAGAGGGCCATGGGCAGAAGATGCGATAAAAGGAGTACTCAAGGACGATGATCGGGCCGCACAGCAACTTCTTTCTGTGATATCTCAGAGTCAAGGGTGCTGATCCATTGACCTCGCCTTCATCCCTAAAGATTAATTGATAATGCACGTAAATATTCATGTCCTTCTTTCCTCGGAGAATTCGCTATGTGTCCATCTTCTGTGAATACCTTAGGGGACTGTTTATGTTTTTAATTTTGGGGTTGCTGCTTTGGGGCTGTGGGTTCTACTCATTTGTAGTTTTCTCTCTGTAGCCCATTTCACACCACACCTCACTTAGTGGGTTCCAGATGTGAAATGTCACCCCCACCATGAGCCTTCCCAGCACCCAGTTTATTTTATTTGCAGCATGTGTTTTTTTAAAAATATATATTTTATTGCACTTTAGCTTGTGGGGTACGTGTGAAGAACATGCGGGATTGTTGCATGGGTGCATACATGGCAACGTGGTTTGCTGCCTCCATCCCATCACCTATATCTGGCATTTCTCCCCATGTTATCCCTCCCCAACTTCCCTACTCCCCGTTGTCCCTCTCCTGTCCCCCACAACAGACCCCAGTGTGTGATGCTCCCCTCCCTGTGCCCATGTGTTCTCACTGTTCGATACCCACCTATGAGTGAGAACATGCGGTGTTTGATTTTCTGTTCTTGTGTCAGTTTGCTGAGAATGATGGTTTCCAGATTCATCCATGTCCCTACAAAGGACACGAACTCATCGTTTTTTATGGCTGCATAGTATTATTCCGTGGTGTATATGTGCCACATTTTCCCTGTCCAGTCTGTCATCACTGGGCATTTGGGTTGGTTCCAGGTCTTTGCTATTGTAAACAGTGCCATTTGCAGCATGTCTTAAAATGTGCCAACCATCTATATAGTGATGTCCATATATACTCGTTATTTTTCTTTTTAAAATTCTTATCCCCTCCTGGTAGACTATGAGCACTGCAGAAAGGCGTTGAAGTCTGGTGACCTTTGTGATCCCAGCAGTACCTCTGGGCCTGACACAAAGCAGGTGCTCATTCAATATCTGTTGAATAAGGGATTCTAGTAACATCTGTGGCAGTGCTGAGGGTTGAGGATTTTTGTGTTTTATTTTTTAAGATAGAAGAATAGACATAAAGTAAACTTCACCATTTTAACCTTTTCCTCCCGCCGCTTAGAGATGGGGTCTTGTGGCCGGGCACTGTGGCTAACACCTGTAATCCTCACACTTTGGGAAGCCGAGGCAGATGGATCACCTGAGGTCAGGAATTCAAGACCAGCCTGGCCAACATGGTGAACGCTGTCTCTACTAAAAGTATAAAAATTAGCCGGACGTGGTGGTGCCTGCCTGTAATCCCAGCTACTCCAGAGGCTGAGGCAGGAGAATCTCTTGAACTCAGGAGGTGGAGGTTGTGGTGAGCCTGGGTGATGGAGCGAGACTCCATATCAAAAAATAAAAGATGGGGTCTCGCTATGTTACCCAAGCTGGTCTTGAAGTCCTGGCCTCAAGCAGTTCTCTTGCTTTAGCTTATCCCCGTAGCTGGGATTACAGACATGTGCACCACCCCACCCCCACCACCATGCCTGGCTCTATTTTAACCATTTTATTTATTTTTTTATTTTTTTCCCATTTTAGCCTTCAATGAAAGTGTGCAGTTTTACAAGGTTGCACACCCCTCACCACTCTCTAGTCCCAGAGCATTTTCATCACCCCAAAAGGAGACCCCACACCCATTAAGCTGTGAATCCACATTCCCTGGCAGCCACTCATCTGTTTTCTGTTTCTATGAATTCTCGACATTTCATGTAAGTGGACTCATATCTATATGAACTTTGTGACATTTTAAAATGTGAAACACCTATGAAGATGTGGTGACATGCGGCGATGGAGACATGGTGGCTTCAACTGATTTGGGGATGAATGTTGGCGATTTCACGTGGTTCAACCTAATAGCTATGTTTAATCCTTTAGTTAGACAGCAGAAATGAAGACATTTCTCTCATTGTTATGTATGTGATTTTATATGCTTGAAATGTCTCAAAATAAAGTATCTTTATGAAAAAAAATAGAGTGAATGGGAAGCAATGGAAGAGTTTGAAGAGGTGGTACCCTCTTATTGGCCAGAAATACAAGGTTTTAAGCCAGATAGACCTGGGGTTCAATCCTGGCTCCATGCCTGTTCAGCTATGGGGCTGTGGGTAAGCCATGTGACTTCTGGGGTCTCAGTGTTCTTGCCTGTAAAATGGTGATAATAAGACCAGCTTCAGAGGTGCTGTGCAGATCGAGTGCACAGAAAACAGCGGGAACTTGCACAGAGGAGAGACAATGCTATCAGAGCGTGACCGTGGTGGATGGGGTGAAATGTTAGCACTGAGCTTCAAACCCCGCCCGTCTGTCTGCCAACCCTGTGCTAGCAGAGGGTTGGAAAACCTGACAGCTCAGGTTTTCCAAGCCCAGCCTTGCCAAGGAATGGAATTTCAGGTGTTTACAAAATGGCCGTGATTTCATCTGTCTTTCCTTGTCTAGAACTTGACAAGCAGGGTATGTTCCCTGAGCTTCTGAAATCCAGAGATTTACCCTTCCTATGGCAGTGCCACAGTTATTTCTTGGGTGAAATACATGGCATGATGCAGTCGTTAATAATAATAGCAGTATTTTGTACTTAAATATTTCTTTTGTTTTTAACCTTTTAAAAACATAGATCAAATGTGCAGTCTATCTGCTTAAATACTACCTCTGCTATTCATGCCCATGTAACTCCAGACTTTTTTCTCTTTCTTTCTTTTTCTTTTTCTTTAACAAAGAAACAAAATAACCAGGATCTTGCTCTGTCACCAATCTTGGCTCACTGCAACTTCCACCTCCCGGCTCAAGCAATCCTCCCACCCCAGCCTCCCAAGTAGCTGGGACCATAGGCACACGCCACCATGCCTGGCTAATTTGTGTATTTTTTGTAGAGATGGGGTTTTGCCACATCACCCAGGCTTGTCTTGAACTCCTGGACTCAAGTGATCCTTTTGCTTCAGCCTCCCAAAGTATGGGGATTATGGGCGTGAGTGACCATGTCCAGCCAGACTTTTGTCTTTTTCTTTTTCCTCCCTCCCTCCCTCTCCTTCCTTCCTTCCTTCCCTTTTTTCTTTCTTCCATCTCTCTCTCTATTTTGTCTTTGTTTCTTTCTTTTTGTTTTTCTGACAGGGTCTCTCTCTGTTGCCCAGGCTGGAGTGCAGTAGTGGGATCATGGCTCACTGCAGCCTCAACCTTCTGTGCTCAAGTGATCCTCCCACTTCAGCGTCCCAAGTAGTCAGGACCACAGGCATGCACCACCATGCTTAGCTAATTTTTTTAAATTTTTCAAAGAGACAGTATCTCACTATGTTGCTCAGGCTGGTCTTGAATTCCTGTGCTCAAGCAATCCTCCCACCTTGGCCTCCCAAAATGCTGGGATTACAGGCATGAGCCACCACACCCAGCACCCCAGACTTTCTTCAAAAAGTCTGTAAGGACTCAAAGCTGTGATAGAAAGGACTTGCACATCGGTATCACTATCCCCTTGAGAGACTGTGAGGTCAGAGCACATCTGCAAGGTCAGACACAGCTTCAGGAGAGCAAGAAGTCCAGACTGAAGGGGCCCACGTGGTCCTAGAGGCTGTGGAGCTGGATGATGGGGCAGATGTGCCCAAGGAGTTTGCCAACCCCGTTGATGGTGAGAGGGCCCTGCAGTTGGAGAATAAGCCTGGACCACGGTCAAGGTTGCCTCCCCAGCAGGCAATTTCAGTGCTATAACCCCAAAACCCACCCCAAGGCTGGCAGACTGCATGAGTTTTGTGTTTGGGAGTGAGAAAGTTGGAAGGAGATAGGGAATTTTGTCCCTGAGTCCCAGATGAGGAAACTGTTGCCCAGAGAAATCAAAGCTTCTTCCAGAGCAGCAAGAAACAGCATAGTTTGCAGGAACATACTGCGTAAGAGTGGGGCCCACAGGGTCTCAAACTCAAATGCCTGCAGGGCCTGGCAAACAGGACCACATGCCAAGTGAGAGGAACACAGAGCATGTGCAAGGATAAGAGGAAAAGACCCTTAGGGATGGAGATAATCCAGAGAAGAGGAGACAGTGGCCAGCTGTGGAGGGCATGACCCATCTAAAATGGGAGTTGGTGGGGGGCTGGGGCCACCACTGCCCAGACCCAGCACAATTCCAATGCAGGAATGTGGGCTCCAGACAGCCGGGTATTCTACTTTTGCAAGAGACATTGGGATTCTGGCTTTTTATGTGAATTTTCCCGATTTAAACATTTTGGCACCAGGCATGGTGGCTCACACCTGTAATTCCAGCACTTTAAAAGGCTGAGGAGGGAGGATCACTTGAGCCCAGGAGTTTGAGATCAACCTGGGCAACATAGTGCGAGCCCGTCTCTATTTTAAAAAATGGCATCCACTTTAAGCTTTTTAAAATATGGTGTGAGAAACTTTTTGTGGGCCTAATGTGACCTTTCGATGACCAAAATGATAGATATAGACAGATGAGTCTAAATTCTGAAACAAATGTACTCACAAACAGTATTCTGACTTAATATAAAGATATCCTCAATCACATAACCTACCATGTGAATAGGAAACCCAGGAATTGTGCAGTGCCCAATCTGCCCAACTGTACATGGCAGTCCTGATAATATAACTCTTGAAGCTATTAGTCTTCCCAACCCAAGCCCAACACAATAGAAATGTGAACCCTCATCCATCAACTCTCCAAACCATGAGAAGAAATCTTTCACCTGTCTTGGGCACTAGAGCTGTCCAGCAAGGCCATCTGGGGGGAAGCTTTAGCCATCTTGACCAGATTTGCTCTGTTCTCTAGGGTTGTGAAATTCCGTCGCACAGGTGAGAGTGCAAGGTCAGAGGACGACACGGCTTCAGGAGAGCATGAAGTCCAGATTGAAGGGGTCCGCGTGGGCCTAGAGGCTGTGGAGCTGGATGATGGGGCAGCTGTGCCCAAGGAGTTTGCCAATCCCACTGATGGTGAGAGGGTCCTGCAGTGGGGAATCAGCCTGGGTCACAGTCAAGGTTGCCCCCCAGCAGGCAGTTTCAGAGGGGTCTTGTGAAGGGGCAGTTGGGAGGGCCCAGAGGGCCAAGGGGTGGAGCTGGAAGAGGGGGCTGAGCCTGCATGGCTTATTTCAGCAGGCAAGCTTACATCACAATCCCTGCCAGTCAGCATCACTGCATAACACTTGTCATTGTGAGAACGGCACTAACAATGACAATGATGATGACAAAGATGATGATGGTGATGATGATGATGGTGGTGATGATCATGATAGTAATGATGATGATGGTGATGATCACAGTGATGAAGATGGTGATGATAAGAATGGCAATGGTGATGATGATGATAGTGATGATGATGAAGGTGATGATGACATGATAGTAATGATGGTGGTGGTGATGATGGTGATGATGGTGGTGATGATCATGATAGTAATGACGATGATGGTGATGATCACAGTGATGAAGATGGTGATGATAAGAATGGCAATGGTGATGATGATGATAGTGATGATGATGAAGGTGATGATGACATGATAGTAATGATGGTGGTGGTGATGATGGTGATGATGATGGTGGTGATGATCATGATAGTAATGATGATGATGGTGATGATCACAGTGATGAAGATGGTGATGATAAGAATGGCAATAGTGATGATGATGATGAAGGTGGTGATAGTGATGATGAAGATGGTGATGAGATGATAGTGATGATGGTGGTGGTGATGATGATGGTATTGATGATGATGGTGATAGTGACGGTGATGGTGATGATCACAGTGATGAAGATGGTGATGATAAGAATGGCAATGGTGATGATGATGATGATAGTGATGATGATGAAGGTGATGATGACATGATAGTAATGATGGTGGTGGTGATGATGGTATTGATGATGATGATGGTGATAGTGACGATGATGGTGATGATCACAGTGATGAAGATGGTGATGATAAGAGTGGCAATGGTGATGATGATGATAGTGATGATGAAGGTGGTGATGAAGACATGATAGTAATGATGGTGGTGGTGATGATGGTGATGATGATGGTGGTGATGATGGTAGTGATGATGGTGAGATGATGATGGTGTTGATGAAGACGGTGGTGGTGATGATGAAGATGATGATGGTGGTGATGATGGTGTTGATGAAGATGATGGTGGTGATGAAGATGGTGATGGTGGTGATGAAGATGGTGGTGGTGATGGTAGTGATGATGGTGTTGATGAAGATGATGGTGGTGATGATGAAGATGGTGGTGGTGGTGATGATGAAGATGATGGTGGTGGTGATGATGATGGTAGTGATGATGGTGATGATGAAGATGATGATAGTCGTGATGATGAAGATGATGGTGGTGGTGATGGTGGTGATTGTGATAATGGTGATTATGATGATGACAGTGGTGGTGATGGTAGTGATAATGGTGTTGATGATGAAGATGATGATGATGGTGGTTGTGTTGCTGAAGATGATGATAATGGTAGTTATGAAGATGACGGTGGTGGCAATGATGAAGGTGATGATGATGGTGGTGATGGTGATGATGATGATGATGGTGGTGATGATGGTGGTGGTGATGATAATGGTGGTGATGGTGTTGATGAAAATGATGAAGATGATGGTGGTGGTGATGATGAACATGATGATGGTGATGATGAAGACGATGGTAGTGATGATGGCGTGGATGAAGATGTGTTGCTGAAGATGATGATAATGGTGATGATGAAGATGATGGTGGTGATGATGATGGTAGTGGTGATGATAGTGGTGGTGGTGATGATTGTGGTAATGATGACGGTGATAGTGATGACGGTTGGGATGACAATGTAATGACAATGGTGGTGATGATGTTGGTTCTGATGATAGTGTGATGGTAATGGTGACATTGATGATGGTATGCGAGCAGCTAACATTGGCTGAGGATCTACTCTGTGCCAGGCACTGCTCTAACCAGTTCACAGGTTTTATCCATATAATCCTCACAACAGTTCCAATTGCATCTATTACCAACATCTTCCCCATTTTGCAGGTGAGGAAACTGAAGTACAGAAAGGTTAAGTATCTTGCCAAAGGTTATACAGCTAGGAATTAGCCAATTTGGATTTATACCCAGGAAATCTGGCCTCAGAGCCCACATTCTTTTTTTAATTGCATTTTAGGTTTTGGGGTACATGTGAAGAACATGCAAGATTGTTGCATAGGTACACATGTGGCATTGTGATTTGCTGCCTTCCTCCCCTTCACCTGTGTCTGGCATTTCTCCCCATGCTATCATTCCCCAACTCCCCACCCCCCGCTGTCCCTCCCCTGTTTCCCCCCAGCAGACCCCAGTGTGTAGTGCAGAGCCCACATTCTTACCCATGACCTTGTGCTACCTCTGAGGCAGTGCTGTGGGACCTGTTCTCCAACTTCCCTCACTTCTTAATGCTGTTGGATAAAAACATTCTATGAATTCCTGTAAAGACTCAAATTCCAAATCTAAGAAATTTGTCTAATGATTTGAACCCAAGGCCTGTTGTTGGCAAAGATAAGGTGGTAATGACGGGGGACAGAGCCAAGCTGAGGCTTTACTCTTAGGCTGATCTGGGCTTGACTCCCAACTCTACAACGTGCCACTTGTGTGACACAGGGCAAGCCCATGTCCTCCTCTGTAAAATGGGGCTAACACTAGGTCTTAACTCATAGGGTTGTGATGGGTATTAAATGAAATAATGCACATCTAGCTTTTGGCACAGTGCCTGGCAGATAGTAAGCACTCAGTAAGTGCCCCACAATGGTGTTACTACTGTTCTTCCTATGGGTGATTTTTTTTTTTTTTTTTTCTGGAGAAAACCACAACCTGCTGTGATCAACACCAACTCACACATCTTGAGAAAATTATGATTGACATACAAGGCCCGTGGTTGAAATTCCAAAAAGATGACAACTCCCAGCAGGGGCTGATGAGATCCTCGGAGGTTGCTCATGGGGCAACCCAGCATCCTCCTTTAGTATTTGTCTTTCTTTCAGATGGAGACTCACTCTGTCACACAGCCTGGAGTGCAGTGGTGCAGTCTCGGCTCACTGCAACCTCTGCCTCCCGGGTTCAAGCAATTCTCCTATCTCAGCCTCCTGAGTGGCTGGGACTATAGGCATGTGCCTCCACACCTGGCTAATTTTTGTATTTCTAGTAGAGATACAAAACACATCATTCCATCTGAGTGCAGATGGAAAACCCTACTAGAGACAGGGTTTCGCCATGTTGGCCAGGATGGTCTCAAATTCCTGGCCTTGGGTGATCCAATTGCCTCAGCCTCCCAAAGTGCTGGGATTTCAGGTGTGAGCTACTGCACCCAGCTGTATTTTTAATTAACTATTCATTTTTAAATTATTATGGCTTTGCAAAAAAAAAAATTGCAGATATAGTACAGACAGTTCTCACATACCCTTCGCCCAGCCTCCCCTAATGTTAACAACTACAAAAAAAAATTGTCAAAACTAAAACAATTAACACTGGTGTGCTACTATTAGCTCAACTCCAGACTTACGTGGATTTCACCAGTCATTGCTGTTGTGCTGTTTCCAGATACGATCCAGCACAGCACATTGGGTTTAGTGTTTCAGTTTAGTTTAGTTTTGTTTTTTGGATTTCTTTTTAAACAGAATCTTGCTCTGTCACCCAGGCTGGTGTGCAGTGGTGTGATAACAGCTCACTGCAACCTTGAAACCTCCCTGGCTCAAGCCATTCTCCTGCCTCAGCCTCCCAGGTAGCTAGGACCATAGGCGTGAGCCATCACTCACTGCTAATTTTTTTTTTTTTAATTTTTAGTCTCACTATGCTGCCCAGGCTGCTCTCGCACTCCAGGGCTCAAGTGATCCTCCTGCCTCAGCCTCCCAAAGTGCTGGGATTACAGGCATGAGCCACAGCATCTGGCCATCTTTTAGTATGTTTCAAAAACTTATTAGCTTATAAATGATACCTATGTTTTTTTCTGAGCATGAAAATAACACCAGTTTATTTGGAAAGCATTCAGACATTAAAGAAATTCCCAAAGTGGGAAAGTCAGTATTGTTTTCAAAGATGAGTCTGGTAACAGTCTGTAAGATGTCCACCCCTGCTTGGTGCACTCACACACACATACACACATTTTGTTACAAAGACAGCTCCTCCAGGACGTGCCTCTCCAGAACTTTCACTTTTTCACACTTAACAATACAGCGTGCACATCTTTCCATCTGAGTGCCAATGGAAGTGTGCCTTTCAAAAGTATTTCAGGCCAGGCATGGCAGCTCACATCGGTAATCCTAACACTTTGGGAGGCTGAGGCGGGAAGATAGCTTGAGCTCAAGAGTTAAAGACCACCCTGGGCAACATAGTGAGCCCTCATCTCTACAAAAAATAGAAAAAAATTAGCTGGGCATGGTGGCATGTGCCTGTAGTCCCAGCTACTCAAGAGGCTGAGGCAGGAGGATGACTTGAACCCAGGAGATTGAGGCTGCAGTGAGCTCAAATTGTACCACCACACTCCAGCCTGGGCAGCAGAGTGAGACCCTATCTCAAAAAAAAAGCAAAACAAACAAAAAAGTATTTCTTTTTTTCTGGTCATGGAAATAATAAATTGTAAAAGGAAGAAAGTGAATTCTCATATAATTTTTTCCTTTCCCCCTCTAACAATGAACCAATTAAACCATAATTCAAAGCCTTGTATATATTCTATGCATAGATACATGTGCATACATATATGCCCACATGCATACATTTCCAAGAACAGAACCATGCCCAATACTTTGTTGTCAATCTTGTTTTGTTTTTAAACATTAATTAACAATATACTTTGTGTATCTTTCTATATCTGCACATTCTTATTAACATTTGGGTCATATTTCATAATATAGATATTTAATAATTTATATATGTATAATATCTGCTCAATAATTTATGTAACCAACCCCCTGTTGATGGACTTTCTGGGTTTTTCAGTTTCTCCCACTGTAAGCAATGCTGCAGTTGTAGGATATCGCTTCACACTGAAATATTTTTCTAGGATAAGTTCTAAAAGCAGCACGTAGCGCCTTTAATTTGCTTGGCTGGGGACCACCCCAGACAACCCCACTGGAGGATGCTGGAAGGCACACTGATTCCTTCCTCCCCTCTCTCTTTCTCCTTCCTAGATACTTTCATGGTGGAAGATGCGGTGGAAGCCATTGGCTTTGGAAAATTTCAGTGGAAGCTGTCTGTTCTCACCGGCTTGGCTTGGGCAAGTATTTCTGGGGGGCAGTGGCTCAGTTTCCAAGAAACCCCCATGCTGTTCCACTGGGCTTCCACGGTCTATAAGGAAGGACACAGTTCTTTGCACATGGAGACTTGTACTGAATTCCAATTAACAAAATTTGTGTGGAGTGAGAAGTGGTGATAACGAGGTGTGTGCTTGAAGAGAGCTGGATGTGGTTGGCTGTTGCCCTCAAGGAGGAACTAAAGTTTCTAGCTAATTAAGTGGCTTTCAACTCTTTGGGCTCAGGGCTACTATGAGATTATGATGTCAGCTGTGGAGCTCTCCCTAGAAAAGCATGCACAGGTTAAAAATGTGCCTTCTGCTTCAAGACTCTCACCATCCCTCATTCAAATTCCCTAGCTATGACAAACGGCACAGCCAAATCTTTAATATACTTGAAATTAACTTTTATGAACAGCAGGAGATGGCACTCTAACTACATATTTTTCCAAATGGATCATCAATTTCCCCACATTTCTCCCACTAATTGGAAAAGCTGCCTTCATCGTTCGCAAAATTCCCATGGCCACATGGGCTGTGCTTCTAGGTTCCACGTCCATCCTAGCGTCTAGTCTTGGAAAGGCACACGATGTTTAATTGCTGGGGCTTCAGAGTTTGCTTTAATGTATTAAAAGGTCGCACTTGTTAACTATACTGACAATTATATTCTATTCTACATGAACAAATGACCTATAAGCCAAAGACAAGCTAGTCTTTAATTGTACTAAAAATATTGTCTCTCTGCCTTTATAAAAATGTTTTTTTCCTCAGATTTAGGAATTGTTTTCCCACTTTGTTTGTGGGAGTGCTCATATTTTTTAAAACACAAAAAACACCCACAAAAATAATATAAAATGTCTATCTGTCTATTCCTGCAATGATAATGCACAGTTTTAACTGCTGGAGCTTTAAGTGTGGTTTGACGTGTGGCAGGGCACTTGGTAGTGGGTAGAGAGGGGTACGCTACAGTCTCTGTCTCTGGGGTTATGGACTTCTCCAGCCTTCCCTGGCACCAAGCAGCATCCTGGCCTCATGGTGTCTCCATCCTCTCTGCAGATGGCTGATGCCATGGAGATGATGATCCTCAGCATCCTGGCGCCGCAGCTGCATTGCGAGTGGAGGCTCCCAAGCTGGCAGGTGGCACTGCTGACCTCGGTAGGCAGCCCAGCAGCTCCCTCCTGTTGCATACAGTTCTGCTCCCCTGGGGTGTCCTGTGGGATATCTTCCTTCTTCCACTGCTGAAGGCTCAGCAGAAAAGAATTAAGCCCTGATGGAAGAACTGTCCTCTCCCCACCTCATGTATCTTAGCAGGTTTATAGCCAACTCTACTCCACCTGGAGGGTGTCCCAGACATCCTATTCCATCTCTAGGAGCTTGACACCCACCTGTGCATATCACTTAAACTTTATAAGCCTGTTTTCTTGACTGCAAACAGGACATGCCAATCTCACACCCCTAGGATGATTTGAGGACTGGAAACAACACAGTGCCTGGTATATAGTAGGTGTTCAATAAATTGGAGCTATTGCTCCTTGGAATTAAGGCTTGAGGGAGGAGGCTGCAGAACTCTTACTTCTTGCCAGGAACAGATAAGCAGCAACCTCTTCAAAAAGAAAGGAATGAGCCAGGCACAGTGGCTCACGCCTATAATCCCAACACTTTGGGAGGTCAAGGCGGGTGGATCACCTAAGGTCAGGAGTTCGAGACCATTCTGACCAATATGGTGAAACCCCATCTCTAATAAAAATACAAAAATTAACCGGGCATAGTGGTACCTGTAATCCCAGCTACTCGGGAGGCTGAGACAGGAGCATTGCTTGAACCCAGGAGGTGGAGGTTGCAGTGAGCTGAGATCACACCACTGCACTCCAGCCTGGGTGACAGAATGAGACTCCATCTCAAATTTAAAAAAAAGAAAGAAAATGAGAGAGAGAGGAACGGCCAGGCTGGATAAGAGGATAATAAGGGTAATCACAAAAGCTAATACTTAATGGAGCACTCACTGTGCAAAGGCCTTGACTGCATTGCATACAATATATGCATAATTTACACATGCTCTTTAATCCTCACAGACCTATGAGCTAGGCACTATGGTTAGTTGAGCAAAATAAGGCACAAAAAGAGGTTAATCGCTTGCTCAAGATCACAGACCTAGCCAGTGATGGAGTCATTGACAATTCAGGATGCCTCCCAGAATGCTGTTTTTTTACAAATAACTGTTCTGGAATGGCCTGAGTGCCTTCCACACCGCATGACCTAGTCTGATATTGGCAATAAGGTCGTGCAGCTCAGTGGGAAGCACTTCACGGCACAGACCCCTGTGTTTTTGTGGTTTAGTCAGCTCCAGAAGTGTGACCTTGAGTGAGGTGCTTGATGGCCATATTTTGTGGCCTGCAAAATGGAGTGACAATGCCTGTCTTTCTGCAGTGGGGCAACAAAATACACACAGCACCTAGCACACACCGGGGGCTGAGTCCGTGATACTTCTTTCTTATATTCCTCCTTCTCGCCGATACTTCCTAAAGAGTAACTGCAGGCTGGGTGCGGTGGCTCATGCCTGTAATCCCAGCGCTTTGGGAGGCTAAAGTGGGCAGATCACTTGAGGCCAGGAGCTCAAGACCAGCCTGGCCAACATGGTGAAACCCTGTCTCTACCAAAAATACCAAAATTAGCTGGGCGTGGTGGTGTGTGCCTATAATTCCAGCTACTTGGGAGGCTGAGGCAGGATAATTGCTTGAACCTGGGAGGTGGAGGTTGCAGTGAGCCGAGATCACGCCACTGCATTGCAGCCTGGGTGACGGAGCGAGACTCTGTCTCAAAATAACAGTAATAATAATGAAGATAATAACTGCTGGTTTGTGTTTTTGCAATGCAGGGTCTTTCTGGTCTCTTGCCATTGGATTATAACAACCACAATTTACTGAGCAATTATTTTGGGCCAAGCTAATGGTTTTGCATACATTACCTCTTTAGCCTTCTCAAGACTATGAAAGAGGTGCTTTTATTACTGTCTCTTCTACAGATAAAGTAACTGAGGCTTAGAGAGAGGCACTGACTTGCCCAAAGCTCGGACAGCCTGTAAGAGGCAGAGGCAGAATTGAAAGCCAGGCCTGTGGGGCTGGGCCCCTGCCTCGGGCTACTTTCTTGTGGTATGAGGTTTAGACTTGTTAAGTCTCATGGTGAATTTTCTACGGAAAAGTTAAGAGTCCTGCAGGAGTTGCTCCAAAGGCATGAAGCACCCAAGGAGGATACTACAGATGCACATTGTTGCCACACAAAGTACTGTGTAAGATGATCGTAACTACTGTGATAGAAGGAAATACGATGCAAGATTACTGTAATTACTATAATATACAACCAGTACTAGGCTGTGCCAGAATCTCTCCTTTTGGGGAAAATGGGTGTTTTGAAGGATACTTACCTCTTTCAGGATTTAAGAATATCACTTAGCACATGACTAAGGCAACACTTTATCCCAAGACAGTAATCTTCAAACATCTTTGTTCTAGGTTGATCTAGAAAAAAATTAAATAAAAACCTTGTAGAATCCAGGACTGTCACATGTTTTTACATTGACATGAAATTTTTTAAATTGTAGGTTGCAGATGATACCATTGGGAGTGTACTGAAATATAAAAATCAAAATAAAATTACTATATCATTTCTTAAAATGTGTCTAATGAAATTGAAATACCTGACATCTACCATCATTTGCTTTAAAATTACATGAACAAGCTCTTTAGAGGAATTTGAAAAATTTTCATAGCTGCTTTCTTGGAACTGATATTTCCATTCATTTCTCCATATAATTTTATCTTAATGTAATGTGTTCTTTTCTGTTTTTTGAAATGGGGTCTTGCTGTGTTGCCCAGTCTAGAGTATAGTGGCATTATCTTGTATCACTGCAAACTTCGCTTCCTAAATTCAAGTGATCCTCCCACCCCAGCCTCCTGAGCAGCTGGGACCAAAGGCACACGCCACCACACCCAGCTAATTTTTGTACTTTTAGTAGAGATGGAGTTTCACCATGTTGGCCGGCCTGGCCTAATGTAATGTTTTCTTGTTTGAAAGGATCATATTCATCATCCTATTATAATTCTCTGTGACAGAATAAATAAGTGTTAAATTATTGGTTTTAATTCTCTGAGATGAGAAGACTCTAAGCACTAAAGTTTTTCTCCTGCACTGACTTATAATTTTTAGTAGTATACAATAGACCATAACAACAAGATATAATTAATTTTGATAAATAATTGTTAAACATAAGCAAGGTTTTATTGGAAATGTAACCCTTAATGAATGGTGCGGACTGTTTCCCAAATATTTCCTGTATTCCTGAATGATTATTGCTAAAGTGAGACAGGGTTCAGCACCAGTTATGTTCCTATTTGTCATTTTTCCTGAATGTGAATATGCATATGAAAAGCTGTGTTCACATGAAAAAAAAGTTTTGAGGAACTGAAGGATTTGCTAGAACCCAGCAAACTGATGCCACTTAATTTTTTAAAAACTCTCCAAAACGTGTGTGCCAAAGAGCACGCAGCTTTCATTTCTGAAAAACTATGTTCCATGATCTAACTTGCCTACAGCTTGATTAGACTGTCCTTCAATTCTCTTAAAAGTAATAATAAAGGTACTGGAAACCAGATGACCTGCAAAAGGATTTGTAAGTGCCTCATCAGTTCCCCTTCTGGGGCACCCTGAAGGGTTTACATTGAAAAGCAATGCCTTTCGAGGTGCCCTGGTCAGACTGGCCCAGAGAGGCATGGTGGAGGGGTGGTTGAGAAAGAGGGAGTCAGGCAGGAAATGGAGAAGAAGACCCCTAATTCGTTCTTGAAAAAGAGTCTGCAGGGAAGCTGAAAACTCAGAAATGAATTCCCTTAAAATGATCCATTCAGGACCAGATGCAGTGGCTCATGCCTGTAACCCCAGCACCTTGGGAGGCTGAGGTGGGAGGATCGCTTGAAGCCAGGAGTTCAAGACCAACCTGGACAACAAAGTGAGATTTTGTCTCAAATAAATAAATAAATAAAATTAGCCAGGCCTGGTGGTGCACACCTGTAGTCTCACCTACTCGGGAGGCTGAGATGGGAAGATCACTTGAGCCCAGGAGGCTGAGGCTGCAATGAATCGCAACCACACCACTGCAGTTCAGCCTGGGTGACAAAGCAAGATCCCGTCTAAACAAACAAATTAAAAATATATATATACATAACCTGTGTCTGCTTCTACCATGAAACACTTCTGTGTACCATCCCCACTTCCCACCCTCAGCCATGCCACAAGAAATGCATTTGGGGTCAGACCCAACTGAGGCTGTGCCCTCCCCTCTCTGGCCCTCAGCTGTCTTATCTGCGAAATGGGTATAATAGAAGCACCCACCTCGTAGGGCTGCTGCAAGGCTGTGGTAAGATATGTGGGTGAAGCCTTCAGCATGGTGTCTGGCACTTGCAGAGGGAAGAGCATGGTGATGAGGCACCAGTCTGCCTGCTTGGGTTGAAGACTTGCCTCTACCCTCTCCTTTTAGGGAGGCGGAGCAGGTTTCTTAACCTATCTGAGCCTCAGCTCCCCATTCTGTCAAATGGGTAGGATCATTCAAGCCTTACCAGCTGTTACTCCAAGAATTAACAATGTAACAATTGCTTTGCCTCCCACACAATGAGTGGTTTCTCTTACTAATAGTTTACAGCTCCCAGCCCAGCCTCCCTGTGTCTGATTTTCCTACTCTCCAAACTCCACCTTGCAGCCCTTGTTATTTTCTCAGCAGTAGGGCAAGTGTTTTTTGCGAAGGTGACAAACTGGTCAAAAGCTAGCTCCGGGGCCAGAATGCCTGATTCCAGTGCAGGCTGCACCACTTAACACCTGTGTGACACTGGTGGTGCATTTGCTTCTCTCTGAGTCTCAGTTCCCTCATCTGTAAAACAGGAATGATAATAGCACCCTCCCCATGGGATTGTTGGGCAGCTTGCCGGAAGCACTTAGAATAGTGTTCGACCTTGGCAGGTGCTCAGTGAATGTTAGATCATGGCTGTTACCTCGAGTGTGACGTCACTGCTTACATTTGTTGTTCCTTCTGTGCAGTGCTCCAAGTCCTCTGTCTAATGAAAACTGTCTTTCCCCAACAGGTGGTCTTTGTAGGCATGATGTCCAGCTCCACGCTCTGGGGAAATATCTCAGATCAGTACGGCAGGAAAACAGTAAGGCAACCTCTTCTAAACGCATGTCCTTGGGGTTCACTTGGCGATGGTATGGACAAGTAGCACTTGGGAAGCCTAATGAGGATTACGTTGAAGTACTGTGAGAAGACGTTGCTGAAAGGCTGCTGTGGACTCTTCGAAGTATTCCTACTTGGGTCCAACCATATACATTTTGGAATCTAGACAATCGGTGCCTATTCATATCTCCAGGAAAGGAACCATTTCCTCATTGGCTGGGGCAGTCAAGGGATAGTAGATAAAGCCATTGATTCTCTTGCCCTAAAGAGAGCCATTTCTCATTTTTTTTGTTTGTTTGTTTGAGACAGGGTCTTGCTGGAGTGCAGTGGCACAGTCTCAGCTCACAGTAGCATCAACCTCTGAGGCTCAAGCAATCCTCCCCTTAGCCCCCCAGGCAGCTGGGACTACAAGCATGTGCCAATATGCTCAGCTAATTTTTGTATTTCTTTTTGTAGAAATGGGGTTTCACCATGTTTCCCAGGCTGGTCTCAAATTCCTGGCCTCAAGCGATCCTCCTGCCTTGGCGTCCCACAATGCTAGGATTACAGATATGAGCCACTCACTGCACCCAGAGAGCCATTTCTCAATCCCAGCAGGACTGGGCTCCAGTGTCTGCTGTGGGAAGCTGTTCATGAAGACACCCTGAATGATCTGCCTTCCATTCCCTGTCCCACTTCTCCACTCCCCTACTGGAATCACTGCTCAAATAACTATCTGTGCTAGGATCCTTATCTTAGAGCCAGCTTTTGGGAGAGCCCAGACATGATATGAAATGGTTTTGCAAACAGGAAGGAAGAGAGACCTTACAGCTCAGGGCCTTGAAGTCAGGTGGACCTGGGTTCGGTCTCAATTTTGCCACTCCTGGCTATATGACCTTGGATGAGCAAATTGACCTATTTTTTTTAGACACAGTCTTGCTCTGTCATCCAGGATGGAGTGCAATCGTGCAGTCTTGGCTCACTGAAACCTCTGTCTCCTGGGTTTAAGTGATTCTCCTGCCTCAGCCACCTAAGTAGCTGGGATTACAGGCACCTGCCACCACACCTGGCTAATTTTTGTACTTTTAGTAGAAACAGGGTTTCACCGTGTTGGCCAGGCTAGTCTCGAACTCCTGACCTCAAGTGATCCAGCCACCATGGCCTCCCAAAATGCTGGAATTACAGGCATGAGCCACCGCACCCGGCCAAATTGACCTCTCTGATCATCCATTTCCTAATATGTATAAAGAAGAAAATAACAGAACCTGTGCTGGAGGGTAAATAGAGATGAATTAGGGTTAATTGAGGTGTAAATCACTGTTTCTTTTGGGGTTTTTTGTTTTAGTTTTGTGAGACAAGATCTTGCTCTGTTGCCCAGGCTGGAGTGCAGAGGTGCAATCATAGCTCACTGCAGCCTTGACCTCCTGGACTCAAGCAATCCTCTCACCTCAGCCACCCAAGTAGCTGGGACAAGACTTGTGCCACCATGCCCAGCTAATTGTTTTTTAATTTTTATATTTATGGAGAGATAGGGTCTCACTATGTTGCCCAGGCTGGTCTCAAACTCCTGGCCTCAAGCAGTCCTCCTGCCTCAGCCTTCCAAAGTGCTGGGTTACAGACGTGAGCCACTGTGTAATCACTTTGTACAATAGCAGGCATATGGTAGGCACAGGACACATGTAAACTGAAACTCCAAGTGTAGCTTTTTTTTTTTTTTTTTTTGAGAGTGAGTCTTACTCTGTCGCCCAGGCTGGATTACAGTAGTGCAATCTCAGCTCACTGCAACCTCCACCTCTTGGGTTTAAGCAATTCTCTGCCTCAGCCTCCCGAGCAGCTGGGATTACAGGTGTGCACCACCATGCCTGGCTAATTTTTGTATTTTTAGTAGAGACAAGGTTTCACCATCTTGGCTAGGCTGGTCTTGAACTCCTGATCTTGTGATCCACGCACCTTGCCCTCCCAAAGTGCTGGGATTACAGGTGTGAGCCACCGCGCCTGGCCCAAGTATAGCATTTCTGACAAGTCCCCATGCAATATCAATGCTGCTAGTCTTGGGACCACACTTTGAAAACGACTGGCTTAGACTAAGAATAATCTACTACTGGAGCTGGGAATGGGCTACCTGAACAAACCTGGAATTCTGTTAGGAAGGAAGAAGTGACATCTGGATGCTCGGTAGGTAACAGGCAATCTCCACTACAACTAGCAAGCCATGGGCCTAAAATAAAATAGTGCCTTGTCTAGCAGGCATGATACAAAGTGTGGTTCATGCATTAGCTCATCCAATCCCCGCAGTAACCACTGAAGTGGGTACTATTATCACTCTAACTTGACAGAAGAGGAAACTGAGGCACAGAGAGTGGGCAACTTACCCAAGGCCACACGGTTTGTGTGTCACAGAGCCAGGCGTTGCTCACTCTAGATCTAGTGCTTTGTCTTCACCGTGATGCCAGTGGCTTGAATGTGTAGGTGCTCTGGAAGCAGGCAATGGCTCAATGAATGAGTAAATGTTCCAGCAATGCCGTGGAGGAGGCAGGCTCCCGCTGCATTCCCTCTCACTGCTACTGCGCAGGAAACATGGCCCAGCAGACACCTGGAAGATAGTGATCAATATAACAGCTAGGAAATGGTGCTCAATAGAACTGTCAAGAATATAAGTCCAGAGGCAGAAGGTTGGAAACAATGCAGCCACGATGGCCCTCATGGTCTTGGTTGGTGATGGGGCTGGAGAGGGCAGTTGGGAAGGCCTCTCCTGGGCTCCTAAAGGAAGTAAAAGCTGGTATTCCCCACTTCCCGGTTAACCCAAGAAGGAATTACTCTTGTCCTCAGTGGCAGCTCTCTGGATCCTGCCCCCATCTGCCCTCCCACCCATTTCCTGTTTCTGGAGCATATGAGTGATGGCATAGTGATTTTCTGGTTGGAAGAATGAACAAGAGGGACAGGACAGGAGGGAGGGAGGGAGAGAAGGGAGGGAGGGATGGGAAAAGGGAAAGGAAAAAGGGAAGGAGGGGGAAGGAAGGAGGGAGGGAGGGATGGAAAGAGGGAAAAAAGAAGGGAAGAAGGAAAGAAGAAGGGAGGGAGGGAGGGAAAAGGGACAGAGGGAGGGAAGAAAGAAAAGAGGGGCCGGGCATGGTGGCTCATGCAGATCACCTGAGGTCAGGAGCTCAAGACCAGCCTGACCAACATGGCGAAGTCCCATCTCTACTAAGAATACAAAATTAGCCAGGCGTGGTGCCACATACCTGTAATCCCAGCTACTTAGGAGCAACACTGTGCCATTGCACTCCAGCCTGGACAAGAGCAAAACTTCATCTCAGGAAAAAAAAAAGGGGGGGGAAAAGAAGAAAGGAAAAAGGGAGAGAGGAAGAAAGGAAGGTGGTAGAGAGAGAGAGAGGGAGGAAGGGAAAGAAGAAAAGAAGGAAGAAAAGAGGGAAGGAAGGAGGAAGGAAGGAGAGAAGGGAAAAAAACACCTCTGAAAATAGAGTCGTTTTTGTTTTGGTGGAGCTGAGCAGCAGTTAAAAGAACTGTAAAAGTGTGGGTGTCTGAGGCTGAACCCAATGTTAATCTTCAAGCCTTTAAAATAAACAAAGGAGGCAGGTTATGGTGGCTCATGCCTGTAATCCCAGCACTTTGAGAGGCCAAGGCAGACAGATCACCTGAGCTCAGGAGTTTGAGACCAGCCTGGGCAATATGGCAAAACCCCATCTTTCTAAAAAATTTAAAATTTAGCCAGGCACAGTGGTGGGTACCTGTAGTGCCAGCTACTTGAGAGGCTAAGGCAGGAGAATTGCTTGAATCTGGGAGGCAGAGGCTGCAGTGAGCCGAGATTGTGCCATTGCTCTCCAGCCTGGGCAACAGAGCAAGATTCTGTCTGAAAAAATTAAATTCATTTATTTGTTCCTGAGACAGAGATGGACATGTCTGCATGCATGCATGCGCGCACACTCGTGCACACGTGCACGTGCGTGCGCGCGCGCACACACACACACACACACACACACATTCAGGAATCCATAATGAGGAAATTTGCGGAACCCCAAATTCTGCTATCCAATTGCTGAAGTATAAAGCAGTGAGGAATATAAGGGAAAATGAGTAAAAATACCTTAACTTTGGGCTTAGATCCAACACTGCATGACTAAAGAGCCACTCCTCATCTAGGTCCAAAATTTCCTTATTTATATTTTAGAGGAGGTAGGATTAGATAACATAGATACTCATAGCTACCATTCATTGAATCCCCAAAATGAAAGGACAAGTGGGTTTTTGTCCCTGTGTCTGTTCTAATCATTTATTAGAGGATGCCAGAAACATGGACTTGAGGAGTCAGAAGGCTCAGTGGGACAGTGCTGTGATTGATTAGTGATGTCTGCCACAGGCGCAGGACTGAAGAGTATGGAGGGAATTTAGTAAACTCCACGAGGAAAGGGGCTGCATTTGTTTTGTTCACTGAGTTGACCCCAGAGCTTGACCTCCCTGGCTCAGAGTGCACAATCAATAAATACTTCTTGAGTGACTGAGCTGGGGTGGATGAGAACCAGACCTCCTCGTTTCTACTCTCTGCTACTTTCTTATCCTCTCCAGAGTAGCAACTGCCTCAACTGATGAATGTTCGTTGTTGACCTGGAAAGTTCACAAAGGTTGTTCCTGTAGGATCCTGACTTCCCTTGGAAGAGGATGTTTACTCTGCCACTAGTGGCATTCGTTCACATGGTGTGCCCATATGGACATCTTCATGTTTGTGAGGGGACTCAGAGGAGACAGCTCTAAGCTGGGATTTTAAAGAGATTTATAGAGGGGTTTTCGGATTGTAGCTGTATTTTGGCACCTTCCAGAATAGTAGTTCTCAGTGCAGAGCTGGGGGGACTTGGCAATATCTAGAGACCTTTTTGATTGTCACACCTCGGGGGAGGGGTGTGCTACTGGCATCCAGTGCATAGGGGCCTAGGATTCTGCTCCACAGCCCACAGTGCATGGGACAGCCCCCGCCACAAAGACTGACCC